ACCGCACTCTGCGGTCAACGGCTGGCGAACATGTATTACGGCTTCGGTTACTGTATTGGCGTTTGCAGTGATGGCCGGTGTTATGGTTGGGGCGATAATAGTTACGGCCAATTAGGCGACGGCCAGACTTACGGCCACTCAAACGCTCCGAAACTCATACCGATTGCCGGCCGAGTGGTGGACGTGTCGTGCGGTAACAGTTTCACTATAGCGTTGACCAGTGATGGCCGCGTGTATGGCTTTGGCCGCAATTGTTTGGGTCAATTGGGCGCCGGAACGCTGGCCTTTCGCTTATGTCCGCATCGCGTGTCCATCGCTGAGCGGGTGGTGTCGGTCGCCAGCGGTCGCAACCATACGGTGGTAGTGACGGACACCGGCCGGGCCTACGCGTGGGGACTGAATATATGCGGCCAATTGGGTCATCACAGGGACGAAGACATGACGGCTGGCCTACAGATGCCGGCGTGCGTTACGCCCGAACCGGTGAAGGGTTTCCCACATCGGGTCCAGAAGGCGCAGTGCAGTCCCGACCACACACTCTTACTGACCACCGATGGCCACGTTTACGCGTTCGGTGACAATCAATACGGACAGATCGGCAACGGCTCGAACGAAACCCAGTGGACACCCGTTCGCGTCGCCGCTGGGATCCGCTTTAAAGACATTTATGCCAAGAATTGTCAGTCTCTGTGTATCGCTGTGTCTGTAGACGACCGGTACTACGTGTGGGGCGGCTCTAAGTTACGCAAACCGCAGCCACAGCCGGAACCGATGGCCACCCATACGGTGTACGATATATACGCCTTTTATACAACACTTGAGATGACGCCGGAGACCATTATCATCGGCGACAACACATCCCACGAGAATATTGAGAATAATTTGGGAAACTTGTCGTCACGTCTTGACATCAAAGCCATTGATGGTATCGATTATGGCGGAGGAGGCGATGGTTTCCACGAATTGAAACCCAAAAATAATGGTTTTAATAGTGGATCAGATGTGATGGCAATGAGCGAAGAGTTGATTCCTATGCATCTCTTTGCGAAACACTTGTCGGACATGTTTGACAACGAATGCGATTACGATTTGGTGTTTGTATTCAACGATAAACGCATTTATTGTCACAAATCTGTGATTAAAATACGAAACAAACAGTTTTGGCAAAAATGTCAGCAAATGTTGAATAAAATTATTAACAATTCAGTCGATAATGAGATTCACGTTAAGAGCTATTCTTATGACTCTTTCTATCCATTCCTTCAGTTCTTGTATGCAATCAAACCGAAGATCACTCCCAGAATCGCTCGCGAAGTCTCAAAGTTGGCCACACTTTATGGCGAATCAGTTCTTCATGAGTGGTGCGCACAGACATTGAGATCAAGTGATGAGACAATTGATTTGTCAAACGTTTGCAGTCTGTATGAGATGTCTATCACCGATGGATCCGTTGAGTTGGAGAAGAGATGCGTTGAATTCGTGACAAACAATTTGATCCCAATTTGTAAATCGGATTCATTTCACGCATTGCCTCAACTCGTGTCCAAACGACTCATGCAATCAGTGTTTGAGTGAAAACTAATTGTAATTTTACTATATTTATATATAATTAACATTTGATTATTTTATCATATCTGAAATTGAATTATTTTTGCCATTTTATAAAACAATAAAACTATTATTTTAATTGTCTTAATTAAATATATAAACAAAATGTAATTTATTTGAGTTTAACATGGTCTGTTTTGAACTATTATACATGTGATTATAGAATTGAATAAATTGATAACAATTTACAATTATTGTCAAAATTAATCCATTAATCAAATCGTATATTAAGCAGTGAAGCGATCGCTAGATTCAAAGGGGTTTTATTGATGAGCGAAACGCTTATGACTTACTATTGAATGAAGGCGTGAAAGCATTGAATTGTGTTTTGAAAACAAAAACAAAACAAATGATTGAATGAATGAACGAATGGATAGTTTGTATGTTTTGCGAAAGTTTCCCGATTTGTGTCCACAACCGGTGGACAACAAACGCGACCGCAAACTAAGGATCAAATTATTAGATGTTTTTGGAGATAACGGCGAAGAAGTGATTGTTGTGACCGCCGATGAACGGGTCTACGGCTTCGGTGCCAACCGTTTCGGACGACTCGGTCTCGGAGTGAATGGTTTGATCGCAAGACCGCAACTGAACGCCACTCTCACCGGAAAGAAGATAATGAAGATATGCTATGGTTTGGGACACTGTTTGGGACTCACGAGTGACAGACAGTGCTATGGATGGGGACATAACGCGAGCGGACAGCTCGGCGTCGGGTCTGTGGCCGACACACCGACCCCTCAACTAATCGAAGTACTTAGTCGTCGATCTAATTCTAAGGAAGTGATGGCCATCTCATGCGGTGATAATCACTCGCTGGCGCTGACCAGAGATGGAATTGTGTATAGCTTTGGGGCCAACGATCGGCGCCAATGCGGTCACGAAAGCGGTGACATTGTTTGGACGCCAACTCAAGTGACCATAGCCTCCAATTTGCCGCCACATAAACCGGTCAAGTGTTTGGCCATCTCTTGCGGGCGTAACCATTCATCGGCTCTGACCGTTACGGGAGAGGTGTTTGTCTGGGGTAGCAATGAGTCCAAACAGTTGGGTCCGCGGGTGATCTCAGTGGACAGTCAGTCATACTGTTGTCCGCAGTCCATAAAGTACTACAATCGCCGCCAATGCCTACGTATGGTACGCGTGATCTGCGGTCTGAATCATACGGTACTCATGTCGTCCACAGGTCTCGTCCTTGTATTTGGTTTAAAGCACTGGAAAGCTGTTCCCAAAAGTGGCCACACATTAAAAACTATCCAATTGGACCGTCAAACTCAATTCAAACGCATTGACACCACTTATAGTAATCGTATGGTAATCGCGACGGCAATGGATGGGAAGCACTTCATTGTGGGAACAGATAATGGTTTGCATATCTTTACACCCATTGATATATCGATGGGTTGTTCGCTGTTTGATGTTTACGCCAATTATTGCGGTTTTAATAAAACTTTTTCGTCGATTAAGAAGATGTTGGAAGACATGATATCGCCGATGAATACGAACACTACTATCACTACCGGATCCGTTGCTTCTGATTCTTATAATGATTTTAAGAGCGGTTTTAATGGTGAAAACTTTGCCGACGAAGAGATCTATGTATCGAAACCCGAAGAATATGAATACGAAGAACCCGAAGGCAAAGAAGTTATTCAATTAAAAAGCAGATCACAGATGGCTTTGGATTTATCACAATTTGATCCATTAGAGTCAATACCACCGATGGATACGCCATCGAATATCCAACGGCCACGGAATCGGCGCCGCCATCGCCGTCGGCCGCATCGGTTGCTTCGCCACAGAATCACTATCGCCACCGAATCCGTTGCTTCTGATTCTTATAATGATTTTAAAAACGGTTTTAATGATGAAAACTTTGCCGACGAAGAGATCTATGTATCGGAACCCGAAGAATATCAATACGAAGAAGACATTCAATTAGAAAACGAATCACAGATTGCATTGGATTTGTCGCAATTTGATCCACTCGTTAACAAAGTGTGCCATAAATCTGATTCGTCTAAATTTGACGGCCAATCAGTTGTCTCGATATCGGATCCAATTGATCCGTAAGTCTTTGTTTTGTTGTTTATAATAGTTTTGAAAATATGATGTAATTTTCATTGAATAGCGAAACATCTGTTAATACTTTGAAATCGAATTTATGTTTGGATTATAAAGACTCTGAATGTGGAGATAATGCGGGAATCGCTGACCAGAAGTACCAAAACACCGATAGTATGGATCCAATGATGGCGTAAGTGTTGATAATGTAATAAACAATTAATTATTAATTGATTGTATTTTTTAGTTGTTTTCAAAAGCATTTGTTGAAAGCGTTTAACAATCGATTGGATTTTGATTTAAGATTTATTGTTGAAAATAAATCCATTTATTGTCACAAAACTGTTCTCAAGTTTAGAAACAAAGAGTTTTGGAGAATATGTGAACAAAATATGATTAATGAAAATGAGATTAATATTAACGCCTATTCTTATGACACTTTTCACTCGTTTCTCATGTGTTTATACGGAATGAGACCCGAAGTGAATGACCAGAACTGTCGACAACTGTTTCGTTTGGCCGAAGACTACGGCGAAGAAGAGATCAAAGAATTGTGTTTTCAATACCTCATGAATTCTGCCTAAATTTTTGAATAACTTTTACTTAGATTTGATTAAATAATCTTTAAATCTAAAAAATTATTTCATTGTTTGCTTAAAATTAATAAAACATTTATTAATATTATTGAGTACGAGTTTTACCACAAATTAACAGACTTTATTATAGAATATAAGATATTTTATAGATTTAATTGAGTTTAAGTTTATTTAGCGGACACTTTAGTGACAGACCCGACAACAAAGCCTCCGATTAAACCACTTTCCAGTTTCCCGTTGTTTGTCGTGATTTGGGATCCGGTGGCCGACCCGTGGGCTACGAGTACTCCCGTCTCAGACGTGGATAACATTTTCTGAGAGTTTAGGTCTGGATATCACACAAAATGGATTAAAATTTCATTCAATCGCTAATAAAAATCATTAATTGATTACTTGTTTCGTAGATATTCTTGAGGAATGGATCCGAAGGAATGGATTCGGAATCCAATGAAAAGGCTTTGTTTTGCTCAGCATTTAGGCCCAGAAGAAGACCCAAACCTCCCAAATAAGCGGTTGAGACCTTCACTGCGTGTCCATCACTTCCGGCAGCACTGATACTAACAGTTCCCGCAAATGTGATGTTAAGCGCCAGACCTCCAGAGTTGGCACCCGTTATGGAGTTGAGGGCCGAGTGTTTGCCTTTTGTTAGTTCAATGAGAAGTTCATTAGACATAATCGATCTCCCGTTCGGTAAACATATTTTGTTCACATATTTCCCAAAACTCTTTGTTTCTAATCTTGAGAACAGTTTTGTGACAATAAATGTATTGATTTTCGACAATAAATCTTAAATCAGAATCCAATCGATTGTCAAACGCTGTCGAGAAATGCTTTTGTAAACAACTGAAAAATACAATCAATTAATTAAATAAATAATAAAATAAATTATAAATAATAATTAATTAATTATCAATATTTACGCAATCATTGGATCCATACGATCCGTGTTTCGGTACTTCTGGTCAGCGATTCCCGCATTATCTCCACATTCAGAGTCTTTATCAGTCAAATGTTTGTATACAATATCTGCGGTTTTTGGGTGTAATTTCAATCGCTTTCCCACTGAATATATTTTATAACAATAGATAAAAAGTATTTGTTAAAAAAGTATTTTAAATAAATAGTTGGTAAATATAAAGTAATGTAAGCAACAAAATAGGTGATTGCATCAATTACCCTGAGCTACATCTCGATATGTAGGCAATGGTTTGTCGTGGTCTCGGAGGCGGCGAATCAGCTCAAGACCGGCCGCACACGTGGCCCTGGAATTCTGTTCGATGGAATGGTAGGCACAACTTCTCACCACTTTGTCGTAGATTTGAATTTTTCGCTTAACATTGTTGTCGTCATCGAGTGATAGGAAAGCGCTAATATCTGCCAATGAATTAAATAGCGACCCATTCTCACCCTGGTCACATTGAAAATATGGTAATTTCGATAAATCAATGATTCGGATGTTATGTTTCATTAAATCCTGTCCAGTAATGTTCAGTGAATGCCAATCGCCAGCGCCGTTGTGCGTGAATACCACTTTGTTAGCTAGTTTAATTATAACAACCAATATATAAATGAATATTAAATTACAGCGATTAATAATATTGTTATTACCGCAATGTTTCAACACTTTATGTTTGGCCTCTACGGGCGAAATGCCTTTTGCCGACTCATTAGCCGACACACCACTAAACAGTGTGTTTGAATTCTCCATACATTTATTATTATTGATAATACAGTAGAGAATTGTTTGAATGTTTTTCCCCTTTTGCTTCGTAGTGATGATGACACTCACGGCAGGGCTGCCGATACCACTCAATCCAATACACTTCTCGACACACATCCCAACGAAATGGCTTACAATTTCACCCTCTTTGTAGTGGTACTCATATATTGATCCAATCTTCGAGAAGTGCACCGTTAGATTGCCATCACGTATCAACTTTTCTCGTTGACGTCTAGTGGTTCCATTAGTTGATAATTGATGTGGCAATTTCTTAAATGCAACGCCTATTCGTATAATTGTAATTAACAAGTAATTAATTGTTGTTATGAATACTTTTATCATTCAATGTTTATTAATGTAAGAAATTAAATAACTATAAAATCGGTTTCCAAATAATTAAATCAATAATTGATGCAATAATTAATACCTTTGTTTTTGTCACATTTGCGAAAGTCGTTGCACACACTCTCATATGGATTACATATCAGACATTGCGTACACTCAGCGGTGGTGTGGCTATCGCTGTAACAAAGCGTGCAGTGATTGGACCCCAAGTGAAGGCATTCGTGTCCTAATCGGTGGACATAATTGACAAATACATGGACTAAGGAGTGGACGCAATTCAAAGTGACCCTAATATTGGGCACATTATCGCGTATAAAAGGGTCGCAAATGATGGACGGCTTGTGATTGGCGCAGAAGTTGGACAACATGTCTGTAAAATACACGAATCCATCATTGAATGTACGCAAACCCGTGGACATGATATGTCACTTCACTTACGCAATAATGGGATACTGTTTTCGCATTTAGTGATCACTAAAATAAAATGGCAATTGTCGGCCATATTCGGGACAAATGTACTGTTGGGCACTTCCAATGGATACGCAATGCCAGCGCCGATGTCTCGCCGGTAATCCCAATACAATGCATTGAGAATGCGGTCCATATCTGCCGGTTTGGTGAACGCGATAGACGACGGCTGGTTGTGTTGGCCCGCGTTTGCACCGCTATTACGGCTTTGGATCTGAAGCAGTGGATCAAGTCTTGAGCACCGCTTCAATTAGTTCACAGACTTATCAACACTTTATCAATAAAATGAAATCCAGACTTAAGTCGTAATGACTCTAAAACACTGAAAATCATATGAAAAGCACACAAAACGTGAATATTTCACTCTTTTTATGGCTATAATTGTCACTTCAATTGATCCGAACGTGAATAGAGACACTCTTTCGGATCAAATCACTGGAACTAATAGACTTCTGGAAGAATATCACTCGAAGTCTACTTTTAACCACAATTACATCAAAATTAACACTGAATTCAAATGTAATGTCAATTCATTCACACTTTTAATCAATAAAAACACAATATTTATCAAAATTAAAAGTAGTTTTATTTCTACTAATAATACAAAAGTTTGTCATTAATTAAAACAATAGTTAAAAATATTAAAAGTAATCAAAATTACAATTAAATTGTTATTAAAAAGATTGAGATCTGAATTGAGATGTGTTTGCATTGAAAGGCAAAACAGTACTGATTTGAAAGCATGGGTTCACTGAAGTTAACGGTAAGTAAAGGTTTGTATAGAAATGTTAGGCAAGTATTGAGCGGCAAATAGTTTGTAACGGATTTTTCATAGCATTACATGTATTGAGTGATTGAATGATAGAGTGATGGGCGGAAAAGGAAGGGAAATGATATTCAATGTATGTATGGGTTATAAGAGTGAGACATCTGTCGACTAGACTTACGTTAAAAAGATATAACAATTGACTTAATATATGATTAGTGGACACGAAGAGGAATAACTCCTTCAGATCCATGGGTTAGAACCACTATTTTGATGGCAATTAGTTTGAGCCGATGTCGAGGGCTGTGATGTGCCCGCACTCGCACTCGCATTCATTGCCGACCCATAACTGTGGGCCCGCTTTGGCCCAAACATTGCGCCAAACAATCAGACAATCAATTATTTGTTTTATAATTTGGTTATATTTTTATTGAATTTATAAATCGATTTATAAATCACTTTCAAAAATGACAATTCATTCAACAATTCAGTTGACAATTCAATCAATCAATGGTTCGCTAAATGTTTTGAATGTATCAAATGAAACAAAAAACATTAGTATTAATGAATTTAATGCCAATGAAATCAAGTAATAATACTTACGTTTTGAATACAAAGTTCACTATTAAAATGTATTCACTATTAAATCAATCGTTTGATTGCTTTGAAAATAACAATTGTTTGCATTAAAGACAACGCATTGAATGCAGTGCTATATAGGGCTCGTGTCGGCCAATGCATAGCGCCGTACAGTCTGACCGCTTTGAAGGTCATATAGCGGTCAGTCACGTGACACTTAGTCTATCATTAACTAACCCTATTAGTGGTTACTGTAGGCCATTGTAACTAATGTATGCAAATATGTGAGTTAGTTATGCACTGAAGCCCACATTATTATCCTATGTAATACTTTTTAAAAGTTATATTGATGCAAAAATTTAATTTTTTAATTAATTAATCAAATCAACAATTTTAATAGAAAATAAATAATTTTTATTGTATTAAAAATCTATTTTAACTTCAAACAAGTGTACAATCGACATGAGAGTAATCTTGTACAATAGTATTTAATTGAATTTTAACTTGTTTTCTATGGGGGAGTATATGGGAGAGGGTTTTATATCGATTTCACCAAATTTGAGCGCTTTTTTGANTAATTGAATTTTAACTTGTTTTCTATGGGGGAGTATATGGGAGAGGGTTTTATATCGATTTCACCAAATTTGAGCGCTTTTTTGAATTTATTATTTTTTCTATCGGAGAGTATATGGGGGAGGGTTTTTTGTTTTGGCCATTATCTCGAAAGTTACATGATTGGATTTTTTCTTACTATTACATTCCTATTCTACTTTTTTATGCTCTACATGATAGGCATAGTCATTTTTTGGAACCTAAAATTTCGGTCGATGTCCAAACGAATTCTATAGATTACTCTGAAGTATAACAAAACTATATAACAGTCCGTATAATAAGAGTACACTTTGTATGCATTTGTTGTGAAAATGTATGTGAATTTCATAAACTTTTTTGCGCGCGTTATTACAATACAGTCAACACTCGTTATTATTACAAACCAATCCTATATATTAATTTAATTATGTTTGTGATCTGTACGCATAACAATTAAATTAAAGGGCATTCAACAATGCATTGCAATTCAATTGATTTATTTTTAATGCCAACTGTAAAACAAGTGCTAAAAGT